TGTGTTCAGGAACGCTCTGGAGATCTCCAGCCCCTCTCACCTGTCCCTCACCCATCTCACCTGTCCCTCACCTGTCTCCCACACCCAGGTTGTGTTCAGGAACGCGCTGGAGATCTCCAGCCCCTCTCACCCATCTCACCTGTCTCTCACCTGTCCCTTTTTCATGCCCAGGTGGTGTTCAGGAACACCCTGGAGATCTCCAGCCCATCTCACCTGTCCCTCACCTGTCTCTCACCTGTGTCTCCCACCCAGGTCATGTTCAGGAACACCCTGGAGATCTCCAGCCCATCTCACCTGTCCCTCACCCATCTCACCTGTCTCAGTTTTGGCCCAGGTTGTGGCCAGGGATGCTCTGGAGATCTCCAGCCCATCCCACCTGTCCCTCACCTGTCCCTTTGTACCCAGGTTGTGTTCAGGAACGCCCTGGAGATCTCCAGCCCCTCTCACCTGTCTCTCACCTGTCCCTTTTTAATGCCCAGGCCGTGTTCAGGGACGCTCTGGAGATCTCCAGCCCATCTCACCCATCTCACCTGTCCCTTTGTGCCGATCTCACCTGTCTCTCACGTGTCCCTTTGTGCCCAGGTGGTGTTCAGGAACGCTCTGGAGATCTCCAGCCCCTCTCACCTGTCCCTCACCCATCTCACCTGTGTCTCACCTGTCTCCCACCCAGGTTGTGTTCAGGAACGCTCTGGAGATCTCCAGCCCATCTCACCCATCTCACCTGTCCCTTTGTGCCCCTCTCACCTGTCCCTCACCTGTCCCTTTGTGCCCAGGTCATGTTCAGGAACACCCCAGAGATCTCCAGCCCTTCTCACCTGTCCCTCACCTGTCCCTCACCTGTGTCCCACACCCAGGTCATGTCCAGGAACGCTCTGGAGATCTCCAGCCCCTCTCACCTGTCCCTCACCTGTCTCTCACCTGTCCCTTTCTAATGCCCAGGTGGTGTTCAGGAACGCTCTGGAGATCTCCAGCCCATCTCACCTGTCCCTCACCCATCTCACCTGTCCCTCACCCATCTCACCTGTCCCTCACCCCTCTCACCTGTCTCCCACCCAGGTGGTGTTCAGGAACGCTCTGGAGATCGGCTTCCTGGGCGGGCAGTACTTCCTGTACGGCTTCAACGTGCCGGCCATCTTCGAGTGCGACCGCTACCCGTGCGTCAAGGAGGTGGAGTGCTACGTGTCGCGGCCCACCGAGAA